GGTAAAAATGACATCATTTTTTAAAAATGGGAAATTTCATTTTATGAGGTATTATTAATAAAACATTTTCATTCATTTTTTCCTTGAAACAAAACAAAGCAAAAACTTTTTTTCCTGTTTCCTTTGAGTTAATCATTTGGGCAATATCAACTTTGACATTTTCCTGGATTTTGAAAAACAAACAAAAAGATGATGTAAAATTATGCAAATACAGAGTTGGACAAAAGTAGGTTTATCGTTGTTCATTCCCCACATGCAGGTTATGATTATTATAATAGTTTTATTAACTCAAAAGAATAAACTCTGTGTTTTACATACAACCATAAAGCTACTTTTCCCCACTCTTATATATTCTTTACTAGTATGCCCTATGAAATTATGAATATTTCATAATCACCAAATTTTTGAACTTCTTTTAAGGATTATTGGAATGTGATGATAGTTTCCAAATAGCACATTAATGCTAGGTTTGAGATATGTAAACTACTAGTGTCAACTTAACAAAAATAGAGGTAGAAAGTAGATGAAACGTCCTATGCTTTATAGCGGAAAATTTACAAAAGCTAATCATTAAGAAATATAAGGAAAAATCATCTCTCACAAATTGGAAACACTTACCAAAGAGAAGGCCTGTGTGTTATGGATAGCAAGGAAATTCCAGCCCCCTTTGCAGCCTGAAATATCTTTCCTTCAACATCAATGCTGACAGCACTGGTACATTCATCCAGCAATGCATATTTTGGTCTTTAAAAAAATAAACACAAATAAATGAATGATTTTCCTATTTGGATGAGAAATCTTTATTTGAACAATATGAGTTGCGATGTTACCTTTAAAGGAGCAAAATAGTCTATGACATAGCAAAGGTGATAAATGATAAAGCAAAAGAGCAGTCATCCTTCCACCCCCCTGTTTGGACTAGAATATAATATTCTTCTTAAATTTTAAATAGATTTTCTGAAGCCTGCTCACAGTACAATAAGCTTTATCGTTACGCAGATGGGTGAGTCATATATGGGAGGCATAGGAAGATGAGGCTGGTCACGGAGTGCTTTTTCTACCGAAGGCAGGCTCATTCTTGGTGACAAGGTTCTAACTAATTAAATGAAAAATACATTACAGTAGCTAATTATCAAACAAACCACAGCCCTGTTAGAAAAGATTTACTAAGAAGATAATTTTATCAACATTGTGAGTACCTAATCACTTACTAATAAGAATCTCATTGCTAAAAGATTCTGCAAAAGTAAGTATGCCTAATTTGACAAGTTTAGAGTAGGTATTTAACTTGGTAACATTGTGACCATGCTTCACAATCAAATTCTTAGGGGGAAAAAATCAGTAAATATTTTTCTGATTGTACTCAACAGTTTTGTTCTTTGCTAGCTCAATTTTTACTCGGGAAATGACTTTCTACTCCTATCCAGAGGCACCATCACTTACCACCATTTTCATCTGTTTATTCTCTTCCTTTCACTTACTCCTCTACTCTTTCTTTTGCCTTTACCTTATTTCAAACCTATCCAGACTTTAGGTATGTATTTGGTACTCAGAAACATGACATAGCTTTGTTAAGAGGACCAAAGATGAGCCCTAGCCGGTTTTGCTCAGTGGAGAGAGCGTAGGCCGGCAGACTGCCCTACCTGGGCCCTGGTCAGGGCTCATGCAGGAGGCAGCTAATCAATGTGTTTCTCTCACATCAATGTTTCTGTCTGTCTTTCCCTCTCTCTTGCACTCTCTCTCTAAAAATCAATGGAAAATATCCTCGGGTGAGGATGAAAGAAAGAGAGAGAGAGAGAGAGAGAGAGAGAACCAAAGATCAACTCATGCACTGTCATTTATAATTTACTTCAGGGCTGAAAATCAGTATCAAGTATTTACCAAGACAATTTCCTCCATGAAGAAACTCTGTTTTTTAGAAATAAATGACAATGGAAAGATAAAAATTGAAACCAGTAGTAATTTCTCATTCAGCATAAATAGTTACTTAGCACTGTAAAGTCGTTTTCTATGATGGATTTGCTTTTTAATAAGATCCTGTACCTACTTGTTGGAAGGGGGAGTATTCAAAGCAATTTTAACACCCCATTTTATTTTTGTTAAATATATTTTTACTAGAGGCCTGGTGCACAAAAATTTGTGCACTCGGGGGGGTCCCTCAGCCCGGCCTGTGCCCTCTCGCAGTCTGGGACCCCTCAGGGGATGACCACCTGCTGGCTTAGGCCCGCTCCCCGGGGGATTGGGCCTAAGATGGCAATCAGACATCCCTCTGGCAGCCC